GTTACAATAGCATTTGTTTTATTACTGTCATATTTGCTTTTATTGTTTTTGTCAGTGGGAATTCCAGCAGACTACATGTGCACCACAGGACCTGGGTTGCTTGGCTGCAGGGAAATCATTCATGCTAGTTTTAAGTCTGATGCTCAGTTGATTCGGAAAAATTGCAAAAAGATACTGAAGCAGTGTGAGAGCAAAGGCTACCACTCAGTAGCTTTCCCAGCTATCAATACTGGTTTGTACTGTGTGCATGTGGATGTGCGTGTTTGTGTTTATGAGTGTTTAAGTGTACTTGTGCAATATGGTCAACAGCAAAATAGTTTTAATCACCGTAAATGTAGTAAGCATTTCTGGTTTACATATAGTTAAGTTTAAAGTGAGTTAAAAACCTCACACTTAAATACATAAACACAACTTACAAGTAACAAGTAAAAGTAAAACTTGTTCTAGTAGAAAGCAGTGTACTAATAGATCCATACATCTATAGATTCATTTAAGCTGGCCAATATGTATTCTTTAATTATAGTATAGTGTTAATTCAGAACTCAGAACACATTACAACATTTGACACATTACAAGTAGAATAGAATAGAATAGAATAGAATACACTCTATTGGCATATGAGCGAATAGAAACAAAATTAAGGTCACTGTAGCAATGTAAATGCCCTTACTGGTAGCATATTCATGTGTAGCTATAACCATAATCTTTATATCCCATCAGGTGTGGCTGGTATGGACTCTGTCAAAGCTTGTAAAGCCATGCTGGATGGCATGACCTCAGCTATTACAGACTTGAAGCCAAAGTCCCTTTCACTCATTCGCATTGTCATCTTGCAACAACCAGTCTTCCAGGTTTTCAGGTCAGATGTAAATCTGACAAACAATAGAGATAAATATGCCATCAATGCATGGATTGGATTGTTTGATGAGTCAGACTGGTCGGTTTTAAACTTCCCCTGACGTATGTTTGCAGATCAGAGTTGGAGAACCGGTTTGGACTACCAGCAACACGCCACCTCAACCTGAAAGGTTTGCTTTCAGTTATATTACAAAGTTCATCATATTAGTTTAGCTTGTTAGTGTGCTAAGATTTCATGCAAATTGGCACTAAAAGTATAGCTGAGGATGTTTGCAATTTAATTTGATAAAATATTGAACATGAAGAAAAGTGCTGTCTAAAATGTTAGGGGATTACTAAAGAGAATACACATTTGAGGAGCTTTGAATATCGGTTGCAACTTTCATGCCATCCCATCTAATAGTTGTTGAGATGTTACACTCAAATAAAGAACCACAAATGTCAGCCTCATGGTGACACATGGTTCCCTCTACAAAAAGTGTTCCTATTTATTATATATATATTTATAATGTCCCTTTTTTCTTTTCTTTTTTTTAGAAAGAGCTAAACAAATACTCAAGAAGTGCCAAGACAAATGTTCAAGGACCTCCACAACTTCAGCACCTCAAGGCAGAACCTTCATCTCCTTAAAGCCACTGCCAGCTGTGATAAGTGTGATTGGTCGTGGTCCCGACGTCATCAGTACTATCAAGAGAGATTTGGAGGGGATCCTGCAGAAGCAGCTCGTAGAGAGAGAGGTGGATGTGCTTGAATTTTCCAAGCTTGATGCCATGGAGCTGGAGGCAATGCAGGCAAAAGTGAAAGTCTTTGAAATAAGCTTGGAGCATAAGAGACGTCAAAGTACAGAAGGTGTGAATGGCAACAGAGCAGGAAACACAGCTAGACCTGAAGCTAGAGATCGGTCACGGTCAAGAGGAGATGTCTATGTGCTTAAAGGCCTGAAGGAGGATGTTTTGAGCGTCATTGAGCTTCTAAACAGAGCATTCCAAAAAGCACTTTGTGAAGACCTCCAAAATAAAGAAGAAGCAATGTTGGCTCTTAATGTCCAGTGGTCGATTCAGGATGTAAATGGAGTCTGGCAGGAGGTGAGCCTGCAAAACAACTACTTGCTGGAGGAGGCTCACATGAGAAAAGAGGTGTTTGTAGATATTAAAGCACAAGACGGCATGATGGCGAAAGTGAACCTGAGGACTCGAGAAGCCACAAATTTGCTAACAGGCATCACATACAAAATGAAAAGAAACGACTCTGCTACAAGTATGTCACATTTTTTAGTTTCCACTTCATTGCACTTGATTTAGCAACTTGTGTTAAAAACCATCCTCTGAACCACAAAATTAATTTCTGTGACTTCTACTTTAGCCTTAGAGTTGCCACCACAATGGGAACCTATGCATGAAGAAGTCTTTAAAAAGGTCGAGCTGCAACCTACCTCACCAGAATATAAGGCTGTAGCCCAGGGTTTCCTGAAAACGGCTAAATACACCATTCGTAAAGTGAGTATGCTAAGACAAAAACACATATTTCTCATCACGTCATTCATAAGTAATTGATTGATTGTTTTCTGATCTCAGATTGAGCGAGTGCAAAACCTCTACCTGTGGAATGCCTATGCTGTGTGTAGGCAGCGAATACTTGCCAAAAACGGTCCAGCAGACCTTGGGGAGAAGTCTCTCTACCATGGCACATCAGCAGAGTCATGCGACTGTATTGAAAGAGACAGATTTGACAGGAGCTTCGCAGGAGCACATGGTAAGGAATGTTATCAAAGGTTGTTATATTTAATTGCCAATTTTTCTGAAATAAAAAATGGAAATAAAAGTTAGGTATTATTTATTAAAAGTGTATCCCTCAAAACTCAGCTAATCCGCTTTCTCAAGGGTGTGGTTTGATCAGATTTAATTCTCAGTGGCCCTTGCATTTAAAGTTACATCCTGTTGCCATTTTTGCTTAAAAATGAAAACAGTGTTTGCAGTTTTGTACGATGAATTAAAAATACTGTGTTGTCTAGTCTGTTTAAGTTTGGGAAACACACTTATTTGCTTTCTTGCCAACAGTTAGATGAGAACCACTCCTACATCTGTATGTTAAATATTAAGCCAAGCTAAGCCGATTTGCTTAGCTTAGCATACAGACAGAGAACAAGACGAAACAGTTAGCCTGGCTCTGTCCAAAAGTATCAAAATATGGCTAGCAGCACCTCTAAAGCTCATTAAGAAGCATGTTATTTTTCGCCTGTTTACCTGTACAAAAGTGTAAAAACAACACTTTGTGTTTTTACGAGGCGCAATGTCCTAGCTGGGCCAGGCAAAGCTAAGCTAACTAGCTGTAGCTTCATGTGAGTGGCGTGTGGTAGTTTGTAGGAAAGCAAATAAGCAAATTTCCCAAAATGTTGAACAATTCCTTTAAGCTGACATGTGTTTTTATGTAATTCTATCACAGCTGCTGCGTACGGAAAGGGAGTTTACTTCGCAGTCAATGCAGCCTATTCAGCCAATGGCTTTTCCCCACCAGACGCATCAGGCCTAAAGCGGCTGTATGTTGCACTTGTCCTGACTGGCCGATACACAGTCGGTGATTCTTCCATGAAAGCCCCCCCCCCTCGAGGCTCAGACCGCACTGACTGCTTCGACAGTGTGGTGGACAACAAGCAACCGCCAACCATGTTTGTGATCTTCCACGACGACCAGGCCTACCCTGAATACCTCATCACCTTCAACTGAAGAAGCCTGAGAAAAGTAATGGTTCAATACTGTGCACTTCTTAAACACTGGTGATAACTTAGAACGTGCCTTAAATTTAGACTTTGAGTCAATGTTGGGTGTCACGAGCAGGACCACACCTTAATTTTCTCTCTTCTGGCACTCTCATAAATACCCTCTCCTCCCCTTTTGCTTTCACATTCTATGCCCCTCCCCCCACCCCTTTTCTATGGGTTACGTCTCTACTCTCCGAAGGGTCCTAGGGGGTCCATCGTGCCCAGGGTCCCCACCAAAAACTTCTCCACATCGCATCGACATCTCAGAAACAGATTCAAACATCATACATATTTTTCGTTCGGTTAATAACATCTTGTTATGGTGTGGTCCTTGCTACTGAATCACTCCTTATAATTACATATATATTTTGTTCTGACTTCTGTAATTCTTGTGATATAAAAAAAAAAAGCAGTCGGTTTAATACAGTAAAATGTTACTTATATTGAGCGCCTATACCTTTAATTTGGCAAAGATTGTTCTTGTAGGCTTATTTTCATGTACTTTATCTCATTGGTTAATAGTCTTTTACACTGGCCTATTTGTTTTGAAAATCATTTTGATTTTTTTATGTTAAGCATAATATTTTAAGACCTAGTTATAAGTTTACATATTTAGCAGTGTGACTTCAGTATACCGATTTGAATATCTGTCTCTCAGTTTTGGGCTTTATTCATTCTGTTAACGTGTGAAAATGTGTGAAATAGTGACATATTCTGTATTATGTAAAATATTACGTATATATAGCTGACTCACCTTGTTTCCCTTATTTCCAATATTAAATAACTAGGGGTGAAACCATATGTGCCATGGTAATTGATTTATCAAACGTGGTCACACTTTATTAAGTACAATTATGATACTAGACCTCCATAAGAGAGTATATGGCTAAACAATCTGCTTTAAGTGAGTTTCAATTGAAAAATGAAGAATTTGTTTGACTATACCATGAATATTCTGTAACTCCAAAGTGAAGATATTTTGGACATTAAAATACATTATACAAGAGTCATTGTTAAATACAAATGATACACCTTTAATAATGTAAATGAAAGACCTCTAATAAAAATAATGATTTGTAAAGGAGATTAGGATCTCTGTGATGTGATATGACTAATGAATAATGATTAAGAAGCACAACATATACACATTTCAACACAACCAAATCTAGCATTTGGTAAAAAATAAACAATATTCAAATCATTTCTAAGGTAATTTAAAGGTATTGTTAAAACATTTTCAAATATAAAAGTCTTATTACAGCTTCCAATGTGCCCCGACATAAATGATCTTTTAAAAGAACATGAACATTACGTTTTTACAGCTGCAGAATGTCACATTGCATTTTGTAATCTGTTGACAATCACTAAGGAGAGTTTTTGTTTAAACTGTTTGAATATAAAATATTTTCATACACTTCACACAGTGAAAAGCAAAAATCCACTGAATGTTGAGTATTTATTTCCATTATCACTGATCACCCGATTATGCCAAAGACGAACATTGACATAGTCTCCAACTTGAAGCTGCAAGATAGCGCTGTTAGATCCAGAGGATGGGTGATTTTGACCATTATCATACCATGACACTATTCGGTTTTCATTACTGTACAAACTGCCACCACAGCTTGCAGTCCTTCCTTCCCAGCAGAAAGAAGTGAAGGTGAAATAATAGATTCCTCGCACTGGTGCTGTAAAATAACCTGCATCAAGCAACAAAAACAAAATGTAACCATAATCATTATTAAATAAACCAGTTGCCAGGCAGTACTTTGTAAAATAACTACTAAACCCTCAAACTATTTCAAAGTGGGTACTGTAACAAAGAAAGCGAGAGGAAAAGAGAAAAAAACTTTTCAAAAAGAGCAACAGTTATTTTTATTACACCTACCACTAAACTCGTATATAGATGATGTGGTTGTAGTAAGGGAACAGAGTAAGTTAGAAAAGGTTTTATTGCAATACTGACCTGTGCCTGGGCTGTAATGTCCTCCAATGTTGGACAGAACATGTCTGTACACCAGAGGGTACAGAACATTTGCAGGACCAATGGTGCTATCTGTTGGTAATGCAGCTGAAAATGCAACTTGAGGCTGTCCTGAGAGATATAAACATATTATTATATTATATGAAAATATATTATTTTATAGCAATTCTTAGCATATCTTGCTCATATTTTGTAGCCTAGAGATGTTGCTATTTCACTTATCGAAAACTCAATTAAGTATGTATTTATGCCAAAAGAAGTGATGTGCAACCACACTTTGATAGCTCATAACATGTAAACTATGGCTCTTTTGTTTAGTACAGTATATGTTATTACCTGTACGTTCAGTCACCATGGTGTTAAGTGCTGACAGCTTTCTCTCACTGGCCTCCAGCTTTTCCTCCAGGCTGCTCACAGTAGCTGCAAGCCTTTCTTCCAGATCAGCCAACTTCTTCATCATTGCACAGATTGGTGGTTCACAGCTTGGGTGGGTTGTTGTTGAGTTTGTTGTCAAAACGGCATCCACATCTAACCCTTGGTTTGACTGCTGGATAGCATCGTTCTCTACCGAGGTATCTGTCAGGTCTTCACGTGTCAACTCAGTGAGGTGGGTCTGCTTGCTGACCACTGCAGCCTGACATTCAGAAAGACCAGCAAGCAGCCACACAGTCATCATCACTGAGAAGGTCTCCATTCTTCAGCTTGGAAGGAATCTTTTAGATTTGTGTAATTTGCTGAAATGACTGTTGACTGACGAGTGAGATATGTATTTATAAGAAAGTCCAGGTTAATAATTGTTTGTGTTTCAAGGATGTAGGAGGCAAATCAAAGCAAAAATATCAGATAATCTAATGAACCCTTGTCCTATTTCTTTATTGCATCTCGACAGTTGTTTGTTGTTCAAGATTTATTATTCAATTACGACTTAATCATCAGTCTATAAAAAAAACAAGTCAAGGTCCTTGTGGGTGTGTTTGGGTGATTCTAACTTTATGCTTTTTTCATGCCCTCTAATATCTGAAGTCTGTGGAAGTTAATGTCAATTTCCTCCTTGGTAAACAAACAAAGTGCATGCCAAGGTAGCTAGCCAGGTTTTTTCATCCAGGGAGAGATGAAAAAGGCTTGTAGAATCTTCTTGTCGTAAAATGGCATAAAAAGCCCTTGTTAAATATTTTTAATATTTTTATTTTATTATTTTTACTTAACTGGAGTTTTGAATGCTTTTACTTGTAGTGGAGTATTTGCACAATGTGGTATTAATACTTTTACTGTAAGTAAAGGATCTGATTACTTCTGTCACTTCTGGCTAGTAATGCCAGTGTAATAAGCAAGCATTTAGTAAGCACTAAATAAGCATTCGAACAACACAACATATGAATACCATTATAAATAAACTCAAGCCAGTTTCCTTATGGCTCCTTGACAGCTGTTTGTTCAGGATTCATAAGTCAAGGTCAGATCTGAACTACCTGTTGGTCCGTGAAGAAAAAATATGTTTACCTGGCTCTTTAATGACCCTCCAATAAATCTCAAAGATTCTCCATTTTCTTCTTTGATGAACATTCAATTAAGTACGTGCCAAGATTCAGCTGAAACTGAATCTCTGACCCAGTAGCTAAGAATAGCTGCTTGTTTATGCAGAGAGGAAAGTTGGGTCTGAGAGAGCGAGAGGGGCTTTGAGGGGGAGAGAAAGATTTGAAGGCAAGAGAAGTAAATATCGAAAGAACTAGTGAATTCATCAAGGGAGTGTTTTGTTTGATATCAACAGTAATTCTACAGAAAGACTAGCGTAGGAAATAGTTCAGAGAGAAAGTTAAACTTAGCCACTGACATGGAGTTTACCAGACGTTACCTGCCACTGGAATGGGAAGAGCGATGGAGAAGAGAGAAGGAGAGGCGGAAAAGGGAGATTGAAGAAGGTGGAGAAGAAGGAATAGAACAGGACAACCGTGAACTGAGGAGGATCGTGGCTTACAATGACTCCAGGATGGGCCTGATGAGTGGGAGGGGTAAGAAAGAGGAGTCAGGGGTCAGTATGAGTGGTACTAAGCAGGAGGAAACTGAGGAGCATATGTGCAAGGAGGCATTTGGTGACGAAGAACTTGTCCACACATACTGCAATGAAACCTATCCTAAAGAAGTATTGGGGACCCTGAAGGAATTCTGTGATTCATCTATTCTCACAGACCTGACTTTGACCACTGATAATAAGGAAAGCTTTCACGTACACTCCCCTATCCTGGCTGCTGTCAGCTCCATCATCTATGAGAGACTGAGGGATGAAAGTGGAGAACAATCAGATAATGATAAGGATGTAGAAGTCCAAAGGAGGTCAGTGTCTCTCGGATTTAAGGTTGATAATGTTGGATTAGAGGCAGTTGTGGAGTTTGCCTACACTGGCGCTGTATTATCTTTTACCAAAGACAACGTGGCCCTGATTAGGGCTGCAGCTCAAGCACTGGGGGTCCCTAGAATACTGGATCTCTGCAACAAAGAGGAGAGGATAAATAATGTTGGAAGTCCTAAGAAGGAAGAGCAAAATAACGCTTCTCTAGAACAGATGAAGATTAATCTTCAGGCAATTAAAGATCTGTGGACAGAAAGAGTGGGGTGTGATGTGATTTTGGATGTGGATGGGGCTTCATTCCATGGTTAGTAGACATTATGTCATTCTGATTACTGCATTATTTAGATATCTTGATGATTATTTAATAGTGGATGAAGTTGTAACTCTTCTTTTGTTTGTGTCCAGTCCACAGAGTTATCCTGGCGGCAAGCAGTGACTACTTCCGTGGCATGTTTACCTGTGGGATGAGGGAATCCCATCAGACCTGTGTTGCCCTTCCCTTCCTGTCAGCTTCTGAGCTAGAGACTCTGATTAGCTGCTCCTACAGTGGGATCCTTCCACTTAACTGGGACTGTGTCTTTGAAATCACCTGCACGGCCCTCCAGCTTCAGTTCCAGCCCGCCCTTTCGCTTTGCCTCAACTTCATGAGACAGGAAATGGAACCAAGCTCCTGCCTGGATGTGGCATCTTTTGCTGAAGCCTACGAGATGTCAGAGCTCCTTGAGGAAGCTAATGACTTTGTGCTGAGGAACTTCTGGGAGGTGTCAGCCACAGAAAAGTTTAAGGACCTACCAGCAGAGAAGTTTCTAGATATCCTCCGCTGTGATGGTTTGTGTGTGCCCTCAGAACTCGCTGTATTTCGAGCTGTATCCTCCTGGGTTGAAGCTGATCCTGAGGAGAGATTGGGCCAGGCTGGTATATTGATGACCGGAGTGCGGTTCCCCCTCATGACCTTTCGAGAATTCAGGGAGGTCAGGGCCATTAACTTACGCATGGAGTGCCTCGGAAACAAGGAGGTGGAACTCTATGGCTCAGCACTCAAGGAATTTGCTTTCAGCCTTCCAAAGACTCAGGATCAGTGCCGTGTCCGGCATCCCAGAGATGCTCTGGTTCTGGTAGGGGGAGACATGCTGAACCCAGATACAGGTCAACGCATAGCAAGTAGGGAACTGTGGTTTGCAAACTCCCTACGTAGTGGTATGGGATTGGTAAAGGAGATAGAGTGGAGGAGGCTGGGTGAGATGCCAGACAAGCCAAAGTTCAGGCATGGAGTGGCAGCAATGGCGGGAAGGTTGTATGTGATTGGAGGATGTTACTTCTACACCAAGGATGACATAATGAAATCTGCATACAGGTAAAGACAGTCTGGGCACAAATATCCTGTTCACTTTATCCACTTTCAATAACTCAGATTGTCACACAGATGCACAACTGTGGTCTCACCTTTTCCATCTTTCCCTTTACTTTGATCGCACACATTACAGTTATGACCCTGTGAAGAACAGTTGGAAGAGGCTTGCTGACATGCAGGAGTTTAGAAGTAACTTCCCAGTGGTGGTACACGAAGAGCGTCTTTATGCCATTGGTGGAGATAAGGAGATTAACCTCAATGTAGACAGCGTCGAGATGTACAACCCAGACACTGACTCCTGGAGGTAAGATTAGTAATGTTACGCCTGAAACAGTTGAAAAGTCCTTCAAAGCATAAGTATTGGGGTAAGGTGTATCAATGCCTAGGTTTAGCTATTTTTAAAGTTAAGATTATTGTTCAAGACATATACTTTAAAAACAAACATCACAGGATAAGGTCATGATGAAGACCTGAACATAAGCTACTGGACACACTATATTCACAGACCTTCACTCTCTACTAAATAGCCTCATCCTGCATTAGAAAAGTATGTAGTCAAAACAACCAAAGTACTAACAGAACAATATCCAAGCATTACCTGCAAGAGATGAAAACAATGACTTTGTCAAAAAAAGAAGTAATTTAAGCATGTATAATTGTATGTATACATAATACAGAAAGAGGATTGTATGAAAAGTTCATCTATCAATCTATATTTTTGATGCAATATTGACAGGAATTCACAACATGTTATTGCATTCACTATTTGGGTTAATCAATAAACCATTTATGAGTTGTTCTGTACTGTTACACATTGAATAAATCCATAAAATATGTCACTTAGTCAGTTGTCTCAGTGAAAGGAACCCCTTAAAGTAAAATGTTTGGAACCACAGATGAGGCCAATGTTTATAATATAATATTAAACAAAATATGAAGAATGAAAGCTGTATCAGCTTGTATATTGACCCTCTCTCCTTCCATATAAATGTAATACCAAGGGTTGGCCAGCAGATGTCACCATTTTGACTATATCAAACACTTAAAAAGACTTGTATATTTTCAGCACAGACAACTGTGAGAACTAGAAATGTGATATTACTGTTTTGTTTTTGTTTTTTAATTCCAAGCCAGTAGAGGCCAATTCTTATTTATGTAACAAAATACACCTTATGCAGAAGAGGATGTGTTTGGATGGCAGAAGGAGCAGTTCTTACAAACTGAGACTAAAAAACTCTTTATTCCAGATTGATTTGTTTTACCCCTTGACTACATTCTTGTCTGATGCCTCGTGTTTCATTTTTGTCAGCTTCGTCCAGCCCCTGGACCAGGCTCTGAGCGGCCATGCTGTTACAGTCATAGATGGAGGAATCTTCATCTCTGGTGGTTTCAACTCTAAGTATGTATGTCTGGTTACCATGTTCATGTACCACCCAGAGAGGGGAACCACCTACCTGGCAGACATGACCCATGACAGAGCCCAGCATTGTATGGAGCCCCTGCAAGGCCATCTTTACGTCGCTGGTGGTGTGTGTAACCTGAGGAAGTTCTACACTGACCAACAAGCCTGCGAGGTGTATAACCCTGGGGCCGATTCCTGGACTGCTTTTGCATCACTGTCTGTGCCTCATGTGGGTGCAGCATCAGCCGTACTGGAGGGGAAGATCTATGTACTGGGAGGATACTGCCAGGATGATTACAGTGAGTCTGGACTGGTCCATCGGTTTGATCCCAGCACACAGCGATGGCAGAACATGGGCAAACTGCCTGGGGCTGTTACTGACATACGAGCCTGTCTGCTCCGATTGCCCCAACACTTTAGACTTTAATAACTAGCTGGTCAAGATGATCAATTTTAGAAACTTTAGAGACATTTTTGGTTGCCAAAATTTTATTTATAAGCAAATGAGGTTCAGCTAAAAGTATTTTTCTTAGTAGTCTTACTTATTGAAAAAATACAACATTACAAATGAATTGTCGTCAATGTTTATATTTGAAGAAATATACACTATGAATCAACTTGACTGTGTGTTTTACTGATCAGTTTATATATATATATTTAACTATTTGCAGTAGTAGTAAAAAAAACACCATTGTAAGGATTAAAGTGTTAAAAAGAATATAATATAGCATATATAGCATAACACATATAGCATTATATTGCAATTTGTCTCTTCTCTACAAGCCCTACAGATAAAATGTGCCACAGAATCATCTTACCATTAATTATAGCCATTAATTCATCATAATTATAAACTTCAGTTTCACCAAAATTATATAACAAACACACCCTTTCATCTTCAGGGGGGCCATTAATCCACCTGATTCTATGGGTGGATTGTAATATTTTAAGGTCCAGGCCCATACACCTCGTCATTTTGGTGCAGGAAGTAAACACAAACTGTCCTCTCTCTCAGCTGGTATATGAGCCTTAAATTAATCCTGTGTTAAATAATTTTTTCACATTCATTTATTCATATAAAAAAAACAATAGATTCTTATCTTTTTGGATTTCAATAGTGTAGCATAATAAGTGAAAGCATTCTCAGGACAATTACAATTAAAGAAGAAAACGAGACAAAAAGCATGTGTCCTTAAATAAGAACATCTTCTAAAAGCATCTTAATTCTTAACCCCAAAAATCTACGACGGGAAGATGAGGAACCCAGTGAAGACACTTGAATGTATTTTTCCACCCCACCATAGTATGATGTTCACCGTCTCTTCGGCCTTCAGTTCAAGAATGACTGTGTTGCTGGTGGTGTCGCTGGTATCCGGTCCTTTGAATTCCCAGGTGCTCACTTGGTGATGCCCATTCTTCACCAGGATGGCTCCTGAAGTGTAGCAGCTGTAGCCAAAAGTCATGAATGAGAAGTGGTAAACCCCATTCAGTGGAGCAGTGAAGAGGCCTGCAAAAGAGGGAAATGGAATGACTTAAACATTATTTTCTACCAGGTGAGACTGAAAACTGGGGGAAACAACTAGTCAAAGGTAGCAAAATCATCTAAAGCACATCTGAAGCTCACTCATTAGCAGATCTCATTTGTTTAATCTATACACACATTTAAACCTAAAACATTAATTACAAGCGGTTATGTATGATTTGAGCTGTAAGTATAAGTAGGCAGATTTTGCTACTTTTGTATGGAGTATTTGTGCTAAGCTAAGCTAAAAGGTTGCTACAGATTTATGTTCCGGTTATGAGAGTGGCATTAAAACATTTTTTTTTAATTTTGTGTCTCAATTTGTACTAATGATACCCCGTATTATATACAATCTTTTTTAAAGACACATATTTTCACCTATGACTCTCATTGGTCGGTTTTCTGAAGGTGAAATATGTACAACATACCTGTTTTAGAGTTGTAAGCGTTGCCAATGTTTGTTAGGACTTTGTTAAAGATCAGAATATTCCTGGTGTTGGCTGGTCCGGTGAACACATTAGGAGATGCGGTTATAGTTGCAGAGAATGCTACCTTAGCACTGACTAAAGAAAGTAAAGCAAACATTGTTATGTTGTGTGTAACTTACATTTGTCATCAATTACATGTAGAGTCTGGATATTTGTTCGCTGCTCTTACCTTCTGCTTTAATTCTGTCCACCTCTAGTTTGAGTTCATTTTGTTTGTCAGCTTTTTTCTCAGTTGACCCCAGTCTGGTTTTTATTCCTGTAAACAGAATATTTTAAAATTTTAAACTTAAAAAATAAAAAATAAAAAAAGGGGGGTTGTATTTAATAACTTCTACATGTACCTTCAGTGTCGCTCTTGAGAGTGCCGATTTCAGCCTTCTGCTTGTCCGCTGTAGTTTTTTGTTCTCTCAGCTGTCCATCAACATTACTGAATTTGCTGTCAGTTTCTTCCTTAAATTCATCAACTTCAGCTTTTTGCTCCTTAAGTTTTGCGCCGAAAGCTTGAAGAATAAATTCAGAGTATTATCAAGGTAATATCTTTTTTTTCAGGACATTTTCACATCAAGTTAGTATGAATAATAAATGTTCAGATAGTACTGATTTTCAAACTACCTTCACTGTTGTTTTGTATTTTCTCCAGCTTAGCTTCAAGTTCCATCTTCGTGCCATCCAGTCGGGCTTCGACTTTGCCTTCAAGCTCCTGAGCCGTCGTGTTAAGGTTGGAAAGTTCATTCCGATATTGATTCAGGAGCCTCTTTGTCTCACTGAACGCAGCCTTGGTTTCTGTCTCAACTTTTTCAAGCCTGGCTTTTTTTGCCCTCAACTGCCTCTCAGTTGTATCAAGTTTATCTTCAATCTGACTGAAGTTTCCCCCAACTATTTCCCTGTGTTCAACCAGTTCTCGGATCTCTCTCTTCAGACTCGCTATGTCAGATTTGTGTTTCGCCAGCTGCGCCTTTGTGTCTTTGAATTCCATCTCACTTTGTGACTTCATCATTTCAAGGTCCTTTAGTGCACTTGAAAGGTTTTCCACTAGGATTTCAAGCGCACTGATATTGCTGGTCTTACCTTCTATAGCCTCAATCCTTTTTTCCAGCATCATTTGTTTCTCTTCAGTATGTTTCTGGCTGTTATAAAGATGTTCAATGTTTCTGTAATTTGAGCAAAGAGTTGGTTTTTCACTTTGTCTCTCTGGGTCGCACTTTCGTTTATCTAGGTGCCAGGAAGACGCAACTCCAAAAAAAGCCAGAAGGAAAATCACCTTGTAGACCATTTTCAGAGATTGGGTTACTTTACAGCTGTTTGCAAAATTAGGCTTCCTGTACCAGCGCTGGCTATAAGGCAGTGAAGCAGCTCCTTTTGTGTTCGACTAGACAGCCCATTCGTGACGAGGTTGCAGTAAGAACCAATCATGTCTTACACGAATGTCATTTAAGGAATGTCCCTCGCTACTGAAAACAAGGAAACAACAAAAAGGAAATAAACTGTGTACTCTTACCCTTCTGACATGTAGAAATTAAGCTACATCAAAATGTTTTTTTTTCCCTGCACTACATTGGGCACCACAATGTCTTAAAAATAGATAATTTTTTCCGCTAATGGTTGTTTGAACCATTTATGTGTTAAGAAGACACATGCATGGGTCATTTTCAGGTGCCAGCTGAGGATAAATCACTATCAAAGGAACCTTTCTGTTTCTGTCTTTCCCTGAATTTGGTGAAAAATATAATATATATCGGACTTGATATTTGTATTTCGATTGACATGGACATTTCCTTAACGTCCGCATTTACAAAAATGTGTCAGTCCTGAGTATTTCACTACTTTTTTGGGATTACAGTGGATTAAAGGGGCACCAAACTGCACAAAAACAATTAATCCGAATTATCATAGATAATAATAAATAACGATAAAAATCCAAGTTCCAGGGGCACCACCCTTAAAAAAGGGAAATGATTTGGAGCTGAACATGGACGTTGTGTGACATTAAACAGGCCAGTGTGTATGAACAGAAGCATTTCTTAAAAAGATGATAAACAAATATATAAACTAACTAAATACGCTCATCTAAAGACAAACAAGTGGTTGTGTGTGCCTGTGTGTGTATGTCTGTGTGTGTGTATGAGGGTTTGCACTTGTGGTTGCACACCAGAAGGAATGTGTCTGTGTCTTTGTTCTGGCAGTATGTTCAGCTGAGCATCAAACACAGTATGTACTGAAAGAGTTAGTCAAAACCAAACAGACATGTTTTATAATCATGCAAACAATCAAAACAACAAACTAGCCCATGTATTAAACTCTATATAAGAATGCCAACATTTGCTAGTTAGTGCTGAACATAAAGTACAACTAGTTAGAATGTCATTAGTTTTGCAGTTATTTGGTCATAAAAAACAACAAAAAAAAACTACTAAAACATTTTGAACATTTTCGAACAAGAGATTAAAAGTAATTCTAAGGTAGACGTTAAGATATTTAGTCAAGTGTTTGTGCAATTGACCAACATTGCTAGTGAGGCAGAAGTCCAGATATGAACCAATGCATTTCCATTTGCTGATACTAATAAACATGTGAAGCCAATGCTCACATTTCTGTTTTTGACCTGTTCTTCCTATTGGCCCATTCCGTTATTGTCAAGATATTCAGTTTTTATTATTTATGCAATGTTTGAGTTGAATCCACTGAGCAACATGTCCCTGTATAACTCAGCGTGGGAAAAGCAACCCAGGATTTTTAGAGGTACATTCAAAACAGAACAAGGAAATCACATAGCATGGTCACGCGCCGTGATATGTTATGAAGTGCTTTAAGATGATTAGTTGCAAATTCTTTCTTCTGGTCTGTTCTGCAAATGTTCACCCTGTGATAAGAATCACTTAATATTTTATGAACAAGGAAAACAGTTAAGACAACAGGTTCATTTGTTGTGTAAGGACGAAATGTTTCTAAGAAATGAGGAACATGAAATGGTGACAGCTGATGGTGGAACAAGGATGTAGACTAGAAAATGCTTCGCCACTGTGCATTGTCTGTCAGCATTACATAATATTAGAACCTGTTAAGCTTTCAGTTCATGGCACACGAGCGTGCAGATCAAAGTGATCACTGGGGAAGACGCCAGTCGAAATTCACAGTAATAGTTTGAACAATGGATCCTTGTTGCCAGACAGAAACTGAAACCAGATCCGCATTCTTTCCCCACCTCTGGAGGATACCTCACGTCTCTTCTGAACATCAAATAATATGGGATTTAGTGCCCCCTCAGATACCCCTACAGTAGATTAAAAAACACAATAAAGTGCCCTTTAGGGTGTGAACCCTAACCAAGTTGTTTCACCATAAATGCATCACAACTTTGTGCTTGCTGCTGCCCCACCACATAACTGGTGCCCTTTTTTATTATTTTTGCCCCTGCCACTGGAACAGTCTGTATCTGCCACTGGAAGAATATCATTTCACAACGATGATGAATGTGTTATAAATGAATCCCCATATTGAAAACTAATAGAAGGCCTTTGAGCCTAGGACAGCTGCAGAACATTAGTTAGTCTTACATCCACAGACGTTTGCAAAAATACGTTACACCCCTCTGTGCTCTGGAGTGCACTACTGACTCAGCTATTTTACACAACTTAACTTTTTTTTTTCTGCAGTGTCAGAGTAAGAGTTTGACACTGTTGAGCTGCAAACATGGACTTCTAATAAAATTCCCTGTTGACAACATAAATTGACTTATTTCTTTCATTGTGCTCCAGGGATCTTTCTGGGAAGTGGATTAATGTGTTGTGTGCTCAAAAATTACCATTCATACACCAAAATTGTTGTTTTGTGGCAGATTTTACATTTTAATTAGAACAACACACAATGACAACCCTGTCCCACCCATAAATATGTACATTAATCATCATACGGTCAAGCTATGAACCAGTCTGATCTATCCAAGTGTGTTCTTCCATGGCCTCGCCTTGCTACCGGCATCTTTGTCTTTCGCTAAAGCTATGGGTGGGGTCTGCTGGAGGGGATTGTGGGTAAAAGTCTGCCTCAGTGGACCTGCAAAGAGGGATGAAAAGACAACATGTAAACTGAAAATAATTCTTACCAGTTATTTTCTTAAATAATCATCTTCAAATGTCTTATTTTGTCTGTCAGTGTGTAATTAATCACACCATAAACAATCTCCATTAAATATCCGGTTACAATTAGCTTTTTCATTTAAGTGTCATTATTGCAATGACTGGCTCTGGCCACAAGAGGGAGCACCTCCTCCATTTCTACATAACAACATCCAGCTGATGATACAGTAGTGAGACTGACCTTTAGCTGCGAGGTCCAGGTGATTTTTGATTCTCCTTTCCCTCTCTTCCAGCTTCTGGGCCGCCTGAGCGTTTTTCCAGCCTGGGCGACCAAACAAGAGTTGGAACAAAGTCAGAAACGATCACACTGCAAATTGAGCCGTCTCCAGAGTTCAACAATGGTAACGTCCACACGTTCTATTGGCTGTACGTTTAGACACTAACCCTTCTTCATGCTTTCGATGAAGCCCTCATTTTGGGGCAGCGCGGAGGTCGGGTGTTGGATCTTCTCTGGGATCTTCAACCTTCTTCTGATCGCGGGGTGTGTGAGCACGGCGACTTGACACAAGGAGAAGCAGTTGGAGGTCAGCCAGTAGGTAAACACAGCCTGAGGTTTGTTTGAGAAGAAGGATTTTAGACAACGTACAACTGTCCTGTACAAAATATCTGCAGCAGGAAGTTTAAGATGCATTTCCTGGTACTAAGCAGTCTTTCAGTATAATGCGGGGGGAACGACTGACCGTGGGGAAGTTGATGGTGAAGGGGAGGATGACGAAGGGCATGATCCTGAACACTGTCTTCATGGTTCGCAGGTTGGGGTTGTCGACACCAGACTCCGCACCCAACTAAAAGAAAAGAAGACGACAATGAGCTCATTGTTACGGAAGTTACTATAACCTTCTGACAAGGTGGGTAAAAGGTGGCTGACCTCCACGATGAAGAACATGGTTCCAGTGACAAATAAAGGCAGGATATAAAAAGGATCTGCTATTGTCAGGTCTGGAAACCAGAGCACGCCTCCGGTCATCAAACTGGGCACCGGCAGATAGGCCATCTTCCTCAGTGCGATGAAGAAAGACATGAAGACCGGTGCCTGCGGGGACAGACAGATAAGTGGTTAGTCCTGATCACATATAATATCTTAAAACATAATTCAACAACAAAAACACCGTCTTAAAAAAGGGAGTGTTGTAGAATAATGAGAAACACACGTTTATGTTTCTAACAGCCACATAAGCACATATTTATATTTGCTACATTTTTCAATGTTATCACACATTGATAGTCTAATATCACTGAAACATGTTTATACATTTAGAATAGTGTAGTGTAGGTGGACTACGATATGGTTATGTTGCTGTTATTCTCTCTCGGGCTAGAATACACATACATATATTTCTGTTATTTATGACAGATAATAGTGACGTAAGGCAGTTTTTAGAGTGCATGGGTAAAGACACTTAAGACCAACGTGGTGCAAGTAAAAGATGCAGAGAATTATTTAAAACTTCAGATCGAAGAATGATCATTTAACGTTGTCCCCTTTGCCTGGACTCGTGAGCACATTCTGTTTTAACAAGAAAATACTTAATTCAATAGAACTTGCGTGTGTGAGCAGATTGTAGTACCTAAATTATTAACAAAATAAAAAGGTCTGCTCAATACGAGGAAGGTCAGTTGCAAAGAACTTGTAGGCATATATGAGATCTACAAGTTAACTTTGTTCATGCAGTAACAGTTGCAAGTGGATATGGAAGTGTCATGTAAAAGATTTTTAGAAACAAATGGAAATGGTGGGAAATGTTTCTGAGGCGCACTGTTAAAACGGCATACAAAGTTGAAATGAATGTCACATTTCTTTCATTTGCTCCTGATATGATATTGAGCGTAACCCCTTGTTAGGCTGAATTCATTTCATTCGATTATGTCTCCATGAAAGGCCAACGTATAGAAACGTGAACGTGAACGTGAAAATGAATCCTGTTTTGATGCATTACATACATTTTTACCTTATTGAAAAGTTGATAGTGAGGTTAAAGCAAAAGGACACAAAGTTAATGCCATGGCCTCATAGCTCAGTACAACATGACAGAGAAACCAGAGATACACTGACCTGCACCAAAGGGACTAGGAAGCCCCGGAGAGGATTTACATCATACTTCTTCTGGAACAAGTTCAGTTCAGAGTAGGCTTTGGCAACTGCAACATGCAAACGACAGCTGATGACGAGCTGACGAGGCTTATAGCATAACTCACATGATCTAAATGATGACTGACAAGACAAAAGCAATAACGCCGTTTTTACATTCAAATTTGTTTCCACTCTGTTTGGCCTCATTCATCCTGTTAGTGAGTTTGGTCATCTCGGGCAACACGTTGTTCAGCTTGGCTGCCTCCCTCTGGCCCTTCACAATCACTGGAAACACAACCAGACGGGCAAACACCGTTCCTACACGGGGGGGGTTAAAAGGAGGAGGACAGAGGAAGGGGATGAGACACGGGAAATACAACGCTGTCTCAAGGAAAATATCGCACGCAGACACCGACAGAACCTTTTTACGTGTGCGCTTACCTGCAACAATGGCCCCCCACCAGGGCAAACCGAGATTCACGTGCGCGAACTCTAACAAGTTCTGGATCAGCCCCACTGGTGTGTAGGCCCCCAACCCAAGCTCTGCTAAACTGGTTTCTGTAGTCGCAGCCTGCAGGACGTCCAACGCAGTCGGTACAGCGTCGGCCACCTGCTCAGCGACTGGCTGCGCTAAGATAGGGGTGGGGTCAGCGGACGCAAGCTCAGGGAAGGAATCCAAGACCGGTGGAGGAGAAGAAGGAGGAGGAGAGATGTCCACTACTGGTACTCCCATGGAAGCTGTTTCCACTGGGATCTGAAAGACATGAATGAAAACTGAATCATTCACGTTCTTAAAAAAAAAAAGATTTGGACAGATCATTTCAATTTCAGATGTAGTCTCCGTCACCTGTTCAGTGATTGGTTGCGCAATAATGGGGGTAGGGTCAGCGGGCAGAGAGACTGGAAGGCCAGAAGCTTCCACAACTCGAGCGGCCAGGAGTCCATCATCGGGTGGGATCTGGAAATATCCATACTTTTATCAATAACGACATGGTAAAGGGGTGACGATTCATTAAAGCAGCTTTTCAGTTGCATGTCGCACTCATTCAATGTGAAATACCGCAGCCTGGCCACAACACGACTCCATTCAACACTCAACTAATAAAGGATACATATTCGAACCTTAACGCACACGGTTAGACTAATTGTAGACTGAGCTCCAACAGGATCCTCTCTTCCCTCTGGAGCTCTAATGAGGGTGACCTGAGACGTTTATTGACGTCAGCACCTTTGCCATCAGACTAATCTGCACTCCGTGTACTAAACCCCGTACGCCAAACTCACCTGTGTGCTGTTGTGTCTGACCACCGCGGCGTTCACCCACAGGAACTTCCCATGCTGTCTCCTGAAGGCAGGGCCGCGACACTCCAACACCGTGTGCAGATGGGACTTCAGGAGCAACCGCTGTTTGTGAAGCAGAGAGAGACAGGGTGTCAAAAAGGAGTCATTATCTAAAGCCCAAAACATGTCGGCTCCGTCGAAAAAGGGCAACGCTTTATCTGAATTATGGCGTCGAACCTCAGGTAGCAGGACTTTTCACCAGCCTTACAACGCTACCACACTGACTGGGACTTCAAATGGGGCATTAATGAAAAAGCTGTTAGTCTTTTTTTTTTGTCACATAATCCTTTCTTGGGTTTAAAACTGAATGACCAATTGAGCTGGACTGTGACAAACTTCCCTTTAACTGAACTTTATGAACCTGAACCTTTAGATAAACCAGGTGAACAGCAGGGTTAAGTTTGACCTCAGGTACAGCGACCTCTAGTGGACCTTTAGCCAGGCGGCTTCTACAGGAGACAGCAGGGTTTAGACCTGCACACAGGGAGTAAGATAAAGGCCTCAGTGTCTTTACTGCAGAGGAAAATGTTGTGGAAGCTGTCGACCGAGCTAGAAGCAACAGCAAACAGATAAAGTAAAGCCTGTGTCCCCACTGGGTCCCCACTGTGTCCCCACTGGAGAGGCTGCTGCTGTCAAAGTCACACAGAAGCATGCACTCAGATAGCTGCGCAGTGTGGACGACAGCCGGAGAGAGAGTAAGCCGGGAAAAGTCGCTGTCTGCGGCTTGTTTTCTGGAACAAATGAAAAACTCCAGACGTGAAAGTGTAAAGAAGACCTACGTGGCTCCAGTTGTCTGAGAGAGGACGGCTGCCTCGGCTCGGTTTTCCACTTTGTCTCAGGAAACATACTGCGAGGCGACTCGGAGTCACCCCGCTCCTGATGGCCGCCATGTTGGTAAAGAAAAAAATAAAAGTCGAACTTCTTCTTCCTTTTTTTTGGGGGGGGGGGCAGATTGCAAGATTGCAGATTGAAGCGCCACCTACCGTAGCGGAGGATGTAGCGCCAGCTCTAGTTAGGTTTACATTAGAAGAAGAAGAAGAAGAAGATATACTTTATTGATCCCCTAGGGGGAAATTGTTTTTTTCACTCTTTTTTTTTATACACACACACACACACACAGGCTGAAATGCACACTT